CTGCCTTATTTGGTGACCATTCATCATTGCTATGGTGATAAAAAAAATAACTATGTGATCAGTCCTCATTTGTATGACCTTCTGTAAAGCAAAGGAAAGCTAAAGTAAGATCATAGGCATAGTCACAGTTTCACTTAGTAACTTCTTCACTTAATGATTAAAATGTGGGTCCCAGTTGTGATAAATGATTAATGAAGACTACCTGTATCTCAAACCACTTAAGTTGGGGTATTTACCTACACAATCTGGCATCAGTTGTACCATCCTTCATGGTAAACATTAGGGGGAAATACAACAACACAGAATTGACATCTTTGACATTTGTTATGAGTTTTATTTATTTATTTATTTATTTTATTTAGCACTTTATACATTATTTTGGAAAGTGTCAAAAGCTTTAAAGGATAGAGGTAGCACTGTAAGGGAGGAGAATGGGACAGAGATGTAAGCTATTGACCTTTTTTATGTTAAGATACACTAGCTGCCCATGCTTTTCAGGAATGACAACTGCATGTTTTCAAGAACCCACCAAGTTGCCAGGAGAAGGAGGCATCAATAAAAAATTTCCATGGAGCCATTTCTCCCAACTGAGTGGAACTCATATTAAGTATGAATCTGTATCTGATGCCCTTGATGCCTTATGCCAGTTAAGCTACTGCTCCGTCTGTTGATTAGATGCTCTGCCACGCTAACCAAAACTGGAATTAAAGAACTTTCTGGTTGCCTATTTGGACGTTTCATCACTAGTGGATTCATTGTGGTCATAAAACAAACTATAAGGCATCTCCGGTAGAATTTATTTCTTGTAGAAAAAGCTAGTAGAATGGATGAATTAAATTTTCAAAATGTTACCAAGTGGACCTATGTATTTTTCATCTTTGAAAGTTTAATATTGACAGGACTACTGAATACAAGGCGTCTCCTTGTATTTCCAGTAAGATCCACCATGGCGCAGTGGTTAGAATGCAGTATTGCAGGCAGACTCTGCTCACTGCCAGGAGTTCGATCCTGAGCGGCTGAAGGTTGATTAAGCCTTTCATCCTTCCGAGGTCGGTTAAAATGAGGACCCAGGGGCAATACACCGACTCTGTAGAGAGTGCTGTAAAGCACTATGAAGCAGTATATAAGTCTAAGTGCTATTGCTACTTCCTTGAGGTAAGAACAGAACATTGTGCAACCACAAGGCTCTCTAAGAAAGCATAGAGGAAAGAGGCCTGACTTTCCACAAAGCCCAGGATATTTTAAATATCAAGATGTTTAAAAGGGGGGGGGGGTTAAGAGATTTCTTGATCAGCTTCTGAAATTTCAAAAGTAAGTGCCATCACTGTATCTGATCTAGTCAATATTTCTATGTTTTTTTTAAATGTGAAAAATTGCTGGATTCTTATAGTGGATATGCTCTTATAACAAAATATAAATGCATACTTCACTTGAAGCCACTTGACCGCACGTGAGTAACTCTATCAAAACAAGAACAATTTTTTTAAAAAGGAATACTCCTTTCAAAGTGAAGGATTAATGTTAATACTGTTAATCTTTAATAAACTATGTTGACCTCTCTCTGTCTCTTACCACTAACTTAACAATTTCCTAGATGTGGATCATGATAGACTACAGAAACAGTTGTTGCATATTTATTTCATTTATTTATTAAATTTGTTTGCTGCCCATCTCATCATAAGGCAACTCTGGGTGGCTTACAACGTTAAAACAAGTATTTGAATGTGCTGATTATTTACACACGCCTCAGCAATTTTTAAACTTTAATTGCTTAGTTTTGTGTCAGGTTTAAATATTTCTAAACATTTCTCTAACCTTATTGCTTTTCGAATTAAAACTCCCAGATTCTCCTATTTGTATGACCAAGGATCACAAAGCTGCAGACAAATGAAATGAAATTTGATTTTTCTGACTATGGTTATCAGGATAAAAGCAAAGTTGAACTTTTCCCTACATTTAAAGATTAATGATAATGATAATTTAATTATAATTTTATTAGAGCCGTGGATGAGATGATCATTATTACAGGTGGTCCTAAGTTAATAATCACATTGGAAACAGCAATTCAATCATTAAGTAAAGCAGTCACTAAGTGAAACTACAACTGTGCTGATTATCTTACTTCAGCTTTTTTTTTACAGACCTGTCAATGTCATAGATGGGAGGATTAGTAGCAAAGTGACTTTTTCATCACCATCATGACTGTAAATAATCACTCTATGAAGCAGTCACTATAAAAGAGAACTACTTATCAAAACCATTTTTCTGAATTAATTTTAGCCTTCGTCCCATAAATTAATCCTGTTTTCACACAATACACTAAGCCATTATTGGGTTAACCATAGTTTATTAAATAAAGAATTAACTGGGTTCATGTCACGTAAATCAAAACTATACCAGATACAACATAGTCCAGTGCATGGGTGAGTAATATGTAAGAGGACTGGCCTATGGCTTGTATCTCTGAGAGAGCCATAAAATACTATCTGATGATATTACCGCATTATTAGAAGGAGCCAGAATTGAGGGGAAACAAAATTATTTTATTAGGAGTTATAGTTGAGAATTGGAATAGGTAGTATCAAATCACATCCATTCCAATTTTTTTTAAAAAAAGTATTGCGACTATGTGAGCAATATATTGCCTATATTTCTGGAACCAAAATAAACACATAAACAGAATAATAGTCAAAGAAATAAAGAGAATGACAGCTATTTTCTTTTATATAAAGAAGATTTTAAGGAACAGAGCTCATCTTGTTATGATTAAAGGGAGAAAAACCCAAGACATATTGTTGATAACATTACAAATTAATATAAAATATCAACCAAATATCAGCCATTTTGTCATTTTCATAGGAGAACTAATTTGCATAAATCCATTATCATACATAAAGATTTTACAGGGGGTATGGAAGAGACAGGATAATACCCAATTATGTTCATGTCTTAAGTCCTTTATTTTTGAAAATGCTGGCTTTCAGCCTTCATGGGTATAAGTAATACATTACTAGCTATAAGATCAAAACAAGAAGTTATTCCATTCTTTAATAATTCTTCATAGCCCTCTTCCTTTTACCACGTATCAATTAAACACATTTATGGCTTGATTTATTTCATATGGTATGTTATAATGTGATTTCTTGAGCTTTGATGTGTTACATTCAGTCAATTATGCCATATTCTGTCAACCCTATCCTAAAAATCCAGAGTTTAGCCCAATTTATGAAATAGGCCAAGGATCATTAGGTTCCAAAAGCACATCTGCAGACTTTTACTTAATAAAATGTATTTTGTGTATAGATGTAGCATGGTTTTGTAACTTTTAGGAATTCAATTTAAGAGCAGAATCTTAGCCTGGAAAAGTTCTATTCTTGAGCAATATTTTTGTAACAGTAAATATTCCGTTAAACAAGTGTTATTTAAGCACATAGCAAATAATGATGACAGTAATTATGATAATGTAAATCTAGATTGTTTGAGTCTATAAACCTACCTAGAACTTCTGGTGGAGTCTACAACAACTGCAAAGATTTCTATTTTTTCCTATACATAATGTCACACTTCTCTCACTATCAGTTGAAAATTTCATTTATACTGACTTTCATATGTAATTTTCCTGAAGATCCCTCTCTTCCTAGTCAAACCTATGAACATTATAACCTTTCTAAACAAAGAGATGATTACTTGAAAAAAGATATTCTCCCTATCAGGAGAAAATGTTGGGTCCATTCAAGTAGCCTTTGAAGAAAACCAGGCTGTGTACATCAGTATATCAAATCTTTCTATAATGTGGGATTGAAAAATATTCCATGGAATGGATTATCATACACTTTATGGAATTATGTGAGAAAGTGTTGTTTTGCTCTGCAAATCTACATTGATGCCAATCACTATCAAGGAAGGCATTCAAATCTTGAGGTGGACTATGCCCAGCTACTTCTTACACTTATGCACACTTATGCACTTATACACTTATGCACACAGTTTTTGTGCACACAAACACATGTGTGCAGAGAAGACCATCAAAAATCAGCAAGCCACTACTGCTTTTCTTTTCTGAGTCACAACAAATTTTATTGGACTTGTGAAGCCACCTAATCATCAAATGATGGAAGGATGCTTCACTTGAATACCCCTTTGAAACTTATCACAGGTATACCATGTATTTGGCAGGTAACTCTACAAATTAGCCTTAAGGGTATTTCAGTCAATAAGCCTAAATATACCTATCTGTGCTGTGAGACACTTGTGCAAAATCAGGAACCCTTTCCAGAAAGGAAATCTCTTTCACTGGCATTGGTAGATTACTTTAGGGACACAGTCTGCTGAAGCAGTATGAGGAAGAAACCTCCAGGCATCTGTAAGGTAAAGGAGAAAAAAACAGAATGGGGAGCAGTGAGAAGAGAAGAGCTACTGTAGCTAGAAGTCAAGAGGACAGGTGCAGCTTTAGAAGAAGAAGTTGCTCTTTTGAGGTGCTTGAAGAAAAGAACAATGATAATCGTATGGAGGTAGAGGGAGTAATCCAACATCATCAAACAAAACCATGCTACCGAAGCCAACTTAGGACTGGCATTGCAAGTCAGCAATAAAAAGAAAACCAAACAGCCATTGCTAAAGTATATCTAATCGGTTTTGACCTTGGATTATTTAAGTAATTCAAGTATTGAAACCAGGTAGTTGGTAGTCTAGCACCATAAATATCCTTGCAGTGGGAGAGGGGGTAAGATGTCTCCATACAATTGACATGCCACCCCTTTTTAGTTCATAAAATAAAGCAGAGTTTCAGTCATACCATCAAGGCCACCTTTTTTTGATCCTCCTGCATAGACAGCCCTAACAGGATTTGATTTTTCCCATGAAGAAGAAGCTTAGTTTAAATACTAGGAACTTTTCTTTACTTCTGTTAGCCGTACCACTTTATATGGTATGTATCACTTTATATGTGAGCATGAGTAGGATTTTGGCAAGTGTAGTTAGCTGATTGCTTCCTTCTTCAATCAGCTGGGGACCCATCTAAATTTGTAGCCCCCAGTGGCTGTCCTAACAGTAAAAGCATTGCCTTGTGGAAAGGCCAGTGTCTTAATGTTACAATGCTCTTTGATGGACGTCTTGAAGGACACCCCTTCCTCAAATTCACTTCCACTCAAGTCCAGGGAACTGTGACTGCTGCACGTCTGCAGCCCATGGAAAGCTCCATACATGTGGACAGCTTCATTCTCTCCACGAGGACGTTTCGGGCCTCTGTCGTCATCGATGGATTGCAGGGCTGCATTGCATTTTTCCGATATTTCCCTTAAGATTTCATTCACTTCCATGTCCTCCTCATGCTCAGGAACTGACATCTGCTCAAGGCTTCTCTTGCCAGGGCCACAGCTCAGGGAAAGGTCAGCACTGTCTTTGCTCTGAGGAAGCATCAATTTCTGCCACAATCAAAAGCACAAATTTTGGAAGACATCAGTTGCACGTCATGCTTGTTATTTTACTCCCCAACAGACTATATTGCTAAAATCGCTCATACACTAAAAACAAGCAGAAAATAATTAATTTGAGTACATACTCCTATTTGAATTTGGGGAGGGGGATCTCATAAAATGGCTGCTATGGGTGAGGCTGCTTGTCATTCACAAAATCAGCACATCAAGACAGAAAACACCCATGATCCATTCTGTGCCTTCCCTATCCAATTAATCTTGTTTATTAGCCACAATACAATACAATACAAACCAAGCAGTGGGCCATTATCATCCACCATTTGGTTTCTTTAAGAATATTTATAGAGAAAATCAAAATAATGCTGGAGTTTGGTGCCTTTGAAATAGACCAGATTAGGAAACAGAGTCCTCTCTTATAGGGGTGATATTTTATTGTTATAGGATATAATACATAATCATGAAAGCCTACAATAGTTTCTCATTCATTCATTCGTTCATTTTCTATTTATATAGCTGCCTTTTGCTGCCCATTTATATGACCCTTTGCTCATTTTATTCCAAATAGAATCAAGACAGACTTGATTTGAATTTCTTTCTCAGGATTTCCCCTTTCCCAGTACTAAGTTATTGTTTTTCCTCCCTTAGTGCCCCTCTATGTATTTCTGAAGTATGTATGTATGTATGTATGTATGTATGTATGTATGTATTTTATTTATTTGTTTGTTTGTTTGTTTATTTATTTATTTATTTTCATTTCATTTCTATAGCTGCCCATTTCAGGTAAGCGACTCTGGGCATTGTATAGTCATTAACACAGTTTTAAATATAGTATAGTATAAAAATAAAGACATATGGCGGTCAAGCTAAACCATCATCATAGGTGTCCATATAGTCAGGAAACAGAACCCTTCAGACAGTCAGGGGCCCAGACCTGAGCAGATAACCAGGTCTTCAAGGCCTTATGAAAAGCCACTAAGATCAGGGTCATCCTAACCTCTGAAGAGAGGATATTCCAGAAGGCAGGGCCTGTGGCAGAGAAAGCATATCTCCTAATTCCTGCCAGATAACAGTCTCCAGAGTTGCTTTGTTTTGTAGCATGTCAGTTTCTAATTTTTTCTTAATTAAAAGAGACTAAACAAAAACAAACTCTAATTGATCAGGAAGCCAGGGAGACATAAAATAAATTTAACTTTAGTGTAATATGTCAGAATTAATCTCTGATTTTATGCTTGGAGAATATACCAGGGTGAAGCCATTTTGACCATAAAAATAACTTTGCTTTATGATGGTATGACCACCTAAAAGTGGTATAGAAGTGACCTACTGGGAGAGACACTTTAGCACTTACATCTAGTACAGAAGCAAGCTGTTTGGCTTGGCTGGCTAATTCTTTTAGCTGGACATTTCTCTCCTTAAGAGAAGCAATTTCTTCTTGCTTTTGGGTCAATGTCTCTTGAAGCTGTTGGGAATGAATATGGTCAGGTAGGAATCATGAGCACAGAATACCTTGTCAAACAAATGTTGCCAGCAACCAAACTTTGTGATCTATCCCTTCCCTTCTCTCCCCTTCTCCCAAAAACTTTATCTTGCTAAAGTGCTTAATTTTAATGAATGGCAGTGAAATTCAGGTTTTTCAACCTACATTTTTAAATTGCACATTAAAAGAAATTTATTTTCAGTAGAAAATCATTTTAAAAGCCACAGGTTTTTTTTAAAAAAAAATGCTATAGACAGATGCAGCTAAAACCAATGCATTTTATTGTTTGTTTTATTTTTAGTATCTTTGAGTCAGTGTTTGACTCCTGGCAATTGCCTGGACTAGTCTCTGCAATATTTTGTGAGTGCAAGATTTCAAAGTGATTTGCCATTGCCTCCTTCCAAGGACTGAAAGAGAATGACTGGCCCAAGGCAGGTCACCCAACTGGCTTTATGCCTAAGGTGATACTAGGTCTCTCAGCTGATGCTTAACCCCTACATCAGAGTAGCTCTCTTCCTATTAATTATAGTACAGCTTCCATATTTGAGGTACAAAAACATGCACACCATTAGACAGCAGTAACGAGATAGGGAAAATACTTTGCTTCCATCTAGGAGTTGCCTGAATTTTTTTTCATCTCAGTATTATTAATCTTGCTGCAGTGCTTAATGCATTATTGTTCAAATGGCTTGCTGCTAAGTAAATGCCTACCTTACTTTTCATAACCGTTCGCTCTTCGTACCTGATTATTTTCCACAAGTGCATCCCCCAGCGCCTTTTGGTTTTGATCTGCCAATTCTTTCCAGTACTGCTCAGTGGATGAGACACTCTCTAGATTCAGATCGATTTCTATAGGTTTCTGGAGGCAGGGACTGGGGGGGCTTCCACTATCCACGGGGAAAGGAAAATCCAGCAGAGGAGCCATCAGAGGAGAAGGATCTGGAGAAGAATAAGAATAAAATTATATAGTTGGTTGACTCCATTTATCTTGCTGGCATGTGTACAATGTAGCCGGGGAGCAATTAAAGCTAAATTAAGCGCAGAACAACTAACTCATAAAAAATGTCAGTGAATCCCCAAAAAGCAGCATCAGGTTGCAGACAGTTCTTTCCAAAGATTTGAACTGTTTTTCTTTCAGATGAGCATTGAACTTAAGCTAAAGGCTACAGGTTATTCAGCTATAGTATGATTAAGCAGCTATTATCCCATTTGGCTTTTTATAATATTTTATAATATTTTCAGAACAGCATTCCTCAAAAAGGTCTTCTGCAGTCACGACATAAGCCTAAGATTGAAAATCAGGCTTGTCGAATGCTACATCTTTTCCATCCTGCTCTACAGAGTAGAATGTTGGTCTCTTGACAGAAAGCCACTTGAAGAGACTAGAAGCACTTGAAATGTGGATTTATAGACGGCTGTTACATATAAGCTGGGCTGACAAAATCAGAAATGCGGAGGTGATAAGCCACCTAGGAAAGCCAAAGAAAATCATCAAAACCATAAACAAGCAAAAGTTGGAATATTTTGGAGATGTGACGTGACACCCGGAAAAATACAGCATACTTCACTTCATCCTCCAGGGAAAAATTGAAAGCAAATGAGATCCAGGAATCCATCATGGCTTCAAAATCTAAGGGGCTGTTTTGGACAAAGCTCAACAGCTTTCATGCAGTTGATAAAAAGAGGATCACCAACATGATCGCCAACATCTGATGAGGGATATGGCAGAAGAAGAAGAATATTTTTTTCAGTTTAAATTCCTTCACTCAAAAAGAACTGTTACCAATGCAGATAGTCCTTAACTTTCTACTATGTACAATTGAGTGAAAAATATCCGTTGCTAAGTAAGATAGGTTGTTAAGGGAGTTTTGTCCCCATTTTATGACTGTTCTTGCCACAGTTGTTAAGTGAATCACTGCAGTTATTAAGTTAGTAACACAGTTGTTAACTGAATTTGGCTTCTCCATTGACTTTGCTTGTCAGAAGGTGTGATGGCCCAGGGTGGGATACAAAATAAACACAGTCACAAAAACAGGTGAAGCCCCGTTTATTCCTTCCCTTTGCTTCAAACCTCCAAATATCCTTGACTGGAGACAAAAAACTCCCCCACAAGCAGCTACGACAAGGAGGAAATGCCATTTAAACTAAAAATGTCTATACATTATAAAGAGTAAAAACAACACAAACCACACTGAAGCAATTAAGGGAACCAGGCAAGATAGGGGCTTGAAGACATCCACAGATATTGGAACACACACTGGGAAGGACGCCAAACTCAGAGAGGGACAACAGACTAGAGATATTTCCACGCTTTGTTTCCAGCACTGACCCATACGCATGTCCATCCTTTTAACCAGTTCTCACAGCTGCAGCCCATGAAGAGGATCAAGGCCCTTTCCTCCCCTGCAGACCATGCCATTCACACCTCTCCCTTATCCTCTCCTCCCTGTGTGCCCTAGGATGGAGAGGGGATGGGCCTGGGTCCTCCTCTGACTGCCCTTCCCCAGCCTCCTCCACAACCTCCGGAGCCACACTTCCACTCCCTGTTGGCTGTTCCTCCTCTCCCTTCGAGTCAGTCTCCAACAGGGGCATGACAGAAGGTCACAAAAGGTGATTCCATGACCCTTGGACCCTGCAACTGTCATAAATACATGCCCGTTGCCAAGCATCTAATTTTTGATCACATGACCATGGGGATTCTGCAATGGTGATAAATATGAACAACCATCATAAATCACATTTTTCAGTGCCATTGTAACTGTGAACTGCCACTAAAAGAAAGATTGTAAGTTGAGGATTACCTGTAGACATGAGTGTCTGCTGAAGGGGTAACAAACAAAACAAGCAAGCAAAAGATTGCCAGCCACAACTGTGTGTCCAACCCACAACGCTTCCCCTTTTATAGATGCTGCACATGAAACTCACCTAAAAATGACAGGGCTTTGATCACATGGCTGCAGCCACCATATATTTTTTTCCTCACACCCCTGCCAGTAGAACTTGATTTTCACCCACTAAAAACAAATAGATTATAGGGGGAAAGATTATTCTAAACATTTCAGGGGTTTGCCACTAGAGGGCATCAGATTAGGAAAATTTAATTGAAAGGAGTTTCCCTAAATTTAAAAGGATTTTCTTACAGATTAACAGAGTTGGAAGGGACCTTGTAGATCATCTAGTCCAACTCCCCCACCCAAGCAGGAGACCATACACCATTTCTGACAGATGGCAGTCCGGTCTCTTCTTGAAAGCCTCCAGTGATGAAGCTTCCACAACTTCTAAAGGCAAGCTGTTTCATTGGTTGATTGCTCTCACTGTCAGAAAATTTCTCCTTATTTCTATGTTGAATCTCTCCTTGTTCAGTTTCCATCCATTATTCCTTGTCTGGCTTTCATTTTTGCCCATTGTTAAATGGATCATGGGCAATTTCCACTGTGCCAATACAGCCTACTCTAAATTATGCATGCATAGCTTTAAAATGGAAGCAAATGCTAAGGAACATCTAATTTATTTTATTTATTCAAATCCCACCTTTATTATTTTTTTTACAAATAATTCAAGACAGAAAACATATCCAGCACGGCTTCCTCCTCCTATTTTCCCCACAACATCCTGCAATATAAATTCAATAACAACCATACACAGAAGGAATTTGATTGGAACCACAGAAATACTGAAAGTGGGATGAAAGATTGTCATCAATACAAAAATTATAATACCTTGCCCTGAAACAGGCAAAAGCTGTAGGTAGCCACCCATTCACAGGCCTCTAGTTTCTTTACTAAAGAAGTAATTAGAATAGAGTAATTTTAATAGAAAAAAGGACCTATTGTAATATAAAGTAAAGCTGTAGTACTTGGTTAATAAGAATTTGGAAGCAATTTAGATAATTTAATTAAATGCTCCTCCCTATTTTGGCACAATGGTTTTTGTATGTAAAGAAGATGAGCTCAAAAATATCAGTGCAAATGAAGGTTAATATGGCAGGTATTATTTTTCAAAATATAAATATTTTTTCCTTCATTTCAAGGAAATGGGATTTAATGAGATGGCCCCATTATTTGTAATATCTGTTCTTTCTCCTAGCCTTTTAATAATAATATCAAAGATATAATCATGGGATGTTCCTTTTAATATGGTCATTTTGTTTTTTAGTGTTGCCATCCAGAATCATATTTTGTAAATGGACAGCCACATAAATATGGCAAATAAAAATAAATAAGCAAGGCCAAATGGAATGTAAGTTGGCTTTACACCCAAGTAGACATACATGACATCTGCATGCATGGTCAATGACTGAAATAAATTATTTAATCTAGCGGTAGGCAGCCCACTGAAGAAATTCATAGAAAGATTTTATTACCTACAAGAAATGTCAATTAAGCTCTCTCTGCATACTTGCCAGATAAGAAGTTATCCACGGCATCTCGAAACTCCTGGAAATCAAAGTCATTCTCGGGTTGCAAGGAAGGGCTCTGAAAAGTATAAAGGAAACGAGCCGATTAGGGAAACTTTTCTCCCGAAACACCTTCTGACGTTTTCTTCCCACGCGTAATAAACATTTCCACGCGCACCTGCAAATCCACCGGCCACCCCAGGCAGCGAAGGGAGCAAACTCTCACTAACATGACGCCAAAGGCAGAAAAAAGGACGGCTGATGTTGGATTGTCACGGCCGTTCAGGGCAAGGGAATACCTACTGAGGAATTCGCTGCGATACGCTGGTTTTCTTTCGGGAGAAAGTTGGATCCATCGCCCTTGCGGATTTCACGCTGAGGCGCTACCATCACAGGCGATGCTTCTCCCTCCGTGCCACATCGTGATCTAATTGGCTAGATTGCGCGAGCCAATCACATTCTTCCAAACTGGGCATTTCTCTGGTGCTGAAAGCAAGCGAATCTGCGCGTGGTTCCCTTTCCAGTGGCCGTGGTTGGCTGACTAGGTTGTGCCCGGTGTGGGTCAGTGAACACCGCCCTTGGTACGTATTGCACCAGGCTAAGCTGCCACTTTATAAAATCGCATCTTACAAAATAAGTAAAATGGAAAATCAGCAAACTTGCGACTTAACCTCCGCACTACGGATCTTCCCTATCCTCTTATTATCTAATCTCATTGATTCTGGTTGTGGAGAAGGTGCAAAGTGCCCATTTCTTCTTGGATATCATCATTGACCTAAGAATTCCATTTATTCTCGTCTAAAACTGCAATCCAATCCATACACTTCTTTTCCCATAGAATGAATCCTGAGGATTCTATTTTATGCCTTTCAGAAGTTAATGGAGTGAATCCTGAGGACTGACTTCCATTAACTTCTGAAAGGCATAAAATTTTATGGCAGATCATTTGTAAAGTTCAACAATACACTTCAGGATGCAGCCATTTCAAAGGAAACTCAGTACAGTGGATCTAAATCTCAGGAAGTGTGTATAGAATTGCAGTCCAAATTAATTGCCACAGCTTCACCCAGACGTACACAAACTGACCTATGATTTATTGAATAATCCATGTTTATTTAGTTTGTACCCCAAGTGCTTAAGCTATAGTTGGTTAGTATAATATCTGAAGCCATAAATTCTAGTTTTTAAACCATGATGGCTGTGTTCACATGACATACAAAGCTAAAATCAAGCAAACTACATTACCATTTAGTCTGTTATGAACCCATGTAATAAGATGATAGTAATTTATCTTCAACACCATTTTCTAAAATCATCCCTACACTCCCAGGGTGTGCATGCTGATCCTTTAAATCAGGCACTATACATCTTTTATGAGAAAACACCAACAAGCAATGGAAGCTTTCTACAGTATCCCTTCATCATAACTACCAAAAAATTCTTTGCAAGTGCACTGAAGCATCCACACTTCTCATTTTTAGAAATTACTATCTGAAATTGCAATATTTATGTGACATCCTAAATCCCTAAAGTAGAATTTGTTCTACTTTCCATTTTTAACAATTGTCTGGAAAATAAGGCTGTTTTGTGCTTCAGCAGCAAGAATAAGATTTTTTTTTAAAAAAAAATCTAAGGTCTCCTTTGATCCAATCTCAACTCCATGCTTCTTGGGTAGGTGCACTGCTTTCCCAGTAATACCATGGAAATGGTTTCCCAGCACCTTTTTCTGGTATGTCCCAGGAGGTTCTGGTTTTTCTTTGAAGATGTTCCACTTCTCCTCCAAGAAGCTTCTTCAGCTTTTTGGACCAGTTTCTTGGATGAGAAGCAAAAGGTCTTCAAAGAAAAACCAGAAAGTACCAGTTGCCTCTTGAAAAAGCACCTTTGGGACAACCATGACATGGATGACTGACAATCTCCATAGGCTTTTTCTGGTATGTTTCTCAACTTCTAAAGATGATCCATGGCTCTGGAATCTTCTAATGGTCTCCCTCCCAAATATTATCTAGATCAAACTTTGCAAGTTTCAGACTTGTGGACTTCAACTCCCAGAATTCCTGAGCTAACATGACTGGAGGAGGAATTCTGGGAGTTGAAGTCCACAAGTCTTAAAGCTGTTAAGTTTGAAGACCCCTGACCTAGATGGACCTCATCACCAACCAGATCAAACACCGCTTAGTTTCGGAAACAGCAAATGTCTGCTATCTACTGCCACCTGGAGGATCCCTAGGGATGAGGTCCAGGTTTCTAAATAAATCCGTGCAGATTAATGGGAGGTCGCTTTCCTCAATGGGAATGAATCCCAAGCGCTTGAGCGTTTGACTTTCCGCAAGGCACCGAGGCCACTTCTGTCCCAATGCAAAGCGCAACGAGGGAAGCATCCTCACTCTAATGTAGCTAAAACAGCCGGCCTAAATGCACGATTCAAGTCATGCCTGTCTAAAATCGCCGGTGGGCGAGGACTGTCGATTTACCTGATGAAGAGCGGCGTCTATAGAAGCTTCCCGCTGAAAGGCTGAGGTGCAGTCAGCTAAATCTTGCCAATCGATGGTAGCAAAGGCTAAAAGGGAAACCACAAGCCAATCATTGGAAACCAACTTCAAAGGCTGACAGACGTGTACCAGAGGCAATGTGCAAAGAAAGTTAGACTTGCGTTTGGCCAATTGCGGTTGTTGGTTTGTTTGCTTTTTGCCATCGGCGCAGACGATTAAATTAAGGAAGCGTCTGTCTTCCGCTTCATTTATTCCTGAATAATTATCAGCTTCAAAAGCTGGGTTAAAAAGAAAAAAAGATACAGGGGGCGAAAGGGGCAACTGTGAGCAATGTGTTAATAAAAAGATGACTAGAAGGATCATTGGTGTGTATGTGGGTGGATGTAGGTGTGTGGGTGAGCGTACAGTGCCTGAACGTATCTTCAAGCTGGAAAGGAAGATTGCAAACCGAACTCACCAGTCTCTATTGAGTCCGGCGATGGGTCGTTATGAATAATTATGGGGCAGCTTCTGGGATGCAGGATCTTCCGTGGCACCTGCGGGCAAAACAGTTGCAAACAAAAACGTTAAAAACTTTTTTTTAGGTATCCTGGACACATGTCTCAGCCTCAGGGAACTCCGGGTCTCTTACTTTTGGGGCTGGGCTGCCTGGTTCTCTGCGCAACAAAGCTTTTCTTTTGATGGAGTTTGTATTGTGCAAGGACATCTTTATCCTCTTTTTAAACTACAAGCGCGCGCACACATGGACACACACACACATCCTGTGCTTTCTGTTATTTTGCTTACATCATATAGATATAGGCATATAGATAATATAGATATAGATGATATAGATATATATGTGTGTAAAATATCAGAAGGCACAGGAGCTTGAATTTCTCCCTTTGACATTTTCCTCCAATATCAGATGACCGAAGAAGGCAAGTAACTCTCTGCACATGCCCAGAGATGCTCGCTCCCTTATCAGTTCCCATCTTCGAGTGCTCGAATGAGAAATGCTCGGGTTTTTTCCTGCCCTTGGTTTAACCACTGGGCGACGCTGTCTCCCGTCCTACAACGAGCGAGCGAGCGAGCGACGTTTCTGCTGTTCGCAAGGTCCGTCGGTCTCCAGCCACGCACCTTTCTCTCTACTTTGCACGGCTTTTTGCCCAACCTGCCGGCCAAATCTTGCACCCTGTTGGGACAGAGGCTGCCACAGGCTTGCCTGACGCCACCACCGGCTCCGCTGTCGCGCTTTTGCATCGCGACTCGCCGCCCGACTCGCCACCCAGAACGCGTCGCCTGCTCGGTTGGCTGGAGCGATCTGGCCGCGGTTGGGGAGCCCGGCTTTGCTTTCTCTCTTGGGAAGAGAGAGCCGAGGGGAGGCGGGCCGGCTGCGGTTTGAGCGCCAGAGGTGGCGCCTTTACCTTGGCACACACCAGCATGGCAACAAGGGAGCCCAGCCTCATCCCGCCGTCCCTCCTCTTCCAGCCTTTTCCCCGCTCCGCCCGGAGATTAGGCTCGATCGCCGCCGCTGCTGCTGGTGCGGCTCGGAGCAGACGAACGAAATTGCGCCCTTTTTCTGCCTCTTGGCGCCCCGGCCAACCGACCAGCGCGGCTGGAGTCCTTTGTCTTCACTCACCGCAGCCCCATGGATGATGAAGGGCAATCCAAACCAAGGCTCTCGATGTATTCGTGTCCCTGAACATAGGCAGAGAGCATTTGTTTTCTTATTTTGGGGGGGCTCCCTGGCCAACAGCCCCGCCCTACTTCCTATTTATTCCCTTGGAAAGCGATCTCAAGGATCTAATTAGATGCCCGTGTTAAGTGTTCAGATTATACGAATTTTAAAGGCAAGTTAGAAGTTACTAAACTTTATTGTTAGAAGGTAAAAGCCTCCGTGACACACCACACACGATTTGTTTGTTTATCCATTTATTTATTTATTTACTTATTTATTTATTCATTTATTTACTTACTTACTTATTTATCCCTCCCTCCGTCCCTCCCTCCATCTATCCATCCATCCATCCATCCATCCATCTATCTATCTGATTTATGTGCAGCTGATTTTGCCTAATCTTGGTCATGCTTGACTCCAGGAATTGTGATAGGGTAAGGATCCTGTAGTGGTACTGTGGAAAATCATTATATTTCAAGGAGTTTAGTGACAGATATTGATTTCTCTTTTGATTTCTCCTATTAAGAAAACTCCAAAAGTTCAGAATTCATTCAGAGCTATGTTTAATGTGCTTGTTTTTTTCACTCTTGCTTGAGGAATTAAGGAAGGGGGCAGGAATCTTCATACAACTGGCTTATCTGTATACAAATAGTCTTTGATTTGCAAGTCCTTGAAATTACTACGGACCTACCTCAGGGTACTTGCAATCTGGATTGGAAGTTCTGACAGACAGGCAGGCCCACCTTGTGGTTATGAGACTGCATGCTGGACACTCAGCAACTGGCCCACATTTAAAGTATTTGTGTGCCCCTCAGTCACATGACCGTTTTTAATGGCAATTTTATTGCAAACCAGCATTTACTTCTGATTTTCAGCAAAAGAGAACCATTTACCAACTGCGGTGTTTGCTTTATGACTTCTTCAGGGGTGGGATTCTACCAGCTCGCACCTATTCGCTAGAACCGGTTGTTAACATTCTGAGCAGTTCAGAGAACTAGTTGTTAGAAGAAATTACTGGGCTAATCCTGTAAGGAAGGCAGGAAGTAAACGTTCTGGTGTTGCTTACAGAAATTGCCTCTCCATTAACCTTTATTACATGCTTGGCAAGACTAGACTTCCTGTCTCAGGAACGTCTCTGGAGTTTTTTTCCCCTCCTTTGCTGGTCCTTTGCTTGTGTGGAGTGACCATTCAAAGTTACAATGGCACTGAAAAAAGTGACTTATGACCATTTTTCACACTTACGACTGTTGCAGCATCCGGTCATGAGAGGCCAAGCAAGGAGATGCGTTTCTTGATGTGAGTGATATTGAGTTGACCATGCCCACCCAATAACATGACCACAAAGCCACGTTCACCCAGTCACATGACCACCAAGCTACGCCACCAACTAAGACACGCCCACAGAACCAGTTGTTAAAAAATTTGAATCCCACCCCTGGTCATAAGTCAAGGAATGTTGTCAGAACTTTTGTTTTCTATCCCAGAGTTAAGCACCATTCATCGAAATCAGATCCTGAAGTCTTGTTATCCGAAGCAAGGACCAAATTTCAATTTTAAAAAAATCACCCTATAGGTAGTCCTCTGCTTACAACAGTTCATTTAGTGATCGTTTGATGTTAAAACAGCACTGAAAAAAGTGACCTTCATGCAATGTTTTTCACATTCACATTCATTCTGCAATCCAACAGGACAGACACAGACTTCAGAGGATAATTAGGACTACAGAAGAAAACAATTATTACCAACCTGCCTTCAGTCGAGGACCTGTATACTGCACGAGTCAAAAATGGGCTGTGAAAATATTTACAGACCCCTCACATCCCGGACATAAACTGTTTCAACTCCTAGCCTCAAAACGACTCTATAGAGCACTGCACACCAGAACAACTAGACAAAAGAACAGTTTTTTCCTGAAAGCCATCACTCTGCTAAACAAATAATTCCCTCAACATTGTTCAACTATTACAAAGTCTGCAATACTATTACTGCTAATCTTCTCATCACTCCTTATCACCCATCCCCTCCCACTTGTGATTGTAGGACTGTAACTTTGTTGTTTGTATACTTATGATTTATATTGACTGTTTCCTAGTATGATTTGCTTGTTGTACCCTATGACTATCATTAAGTGTTGTACCTTATGACTCTTGACTCTTGATGAATGTATCTTTTCTTTTACGTACACTGAGAGCATTTGCACCAAGACAAATTCCTTATGTGTGCAATCACACTTGACCAAGAAGGAATTCTATTCTATTCTCTATTCTATTCACAATCATTGCAGCATCCCCACAGTCATGTGATCAAAATCCAGATGGTTGGCAACTGGTTCATCTTTATGACGGTCGCAGGGTCCCAAGGTCATGTGATCTCACCTTTTGCAATCTTCTGACGAGTGAAGTCAATGGGGAAGCCAGATTCACTTAACAACCGTGTTACTAATTTAATCACTACGGTGATTCCCTTAACCAATGTGGCATATTAAAAGTTGTAAAATGGGGCAAAATTCACTTAACAAGTGTCTCACTTTGCAACATACATTCTGTGCTCAATTGTGATCATAGGTCGAGGACTACCTGTATTGGCCTTTGAGCTTTGGTACAAGTGTGCCTCCTGGCCTTTTCGGGATCACTCTACTGTTGTTATTGAGACTCCCAATGGTTGAAGGGAGCATCTTACTTGGTATGTTTTGCTTTTATGTTTCTGTCTACCGATGTGCTCATTGTCCCGGATCCTCATGCACGGAATGCTGTTACATCCCGCTGAAGTGGCAGCAATAGCAATAAGCACTTAGACTTATATACCATTTTACAGTGCTTTCCACTCCTCTCTAGGCGGTTCACAGTCAGCATATTTCGCCCAACAATTTGAGTCCTCATTTTACCCACCTTGGAAGGATGGAAGGCTGAGTCAACCTTGAGCCTGGTGAGATTTGAACTCCAAATTGCAGGCAGCCAGCAGGCAGCAGGAGTAGCCTGCCATACTGCACTTTAACCACTGCCCCACCGTGGCTCATAAGTGGTACCTATTTATCAACTCGCATTTGCATGCTTTTGAACTGTTGGGTGAGCAGCAGCTGGAGCAAGTAACGAGAGCTCATCCCATTGTGCAGAGCTCGGGTCTCTAACCTGGGCTGTCACTTTTCCAGCCAACAAGCCCACTGTCTTAACTGCTGAGCCATCATGGTCCTTCATAAGTTATAGTTAGATCATGAAGCTGCAGTTTCAAATATTATTGATTAAAGGGGAATCAACTTAAGACGTATATATCTGGGACTGTGGACTATATTATGAAATGGCTTCTTGTCTAAGTGCTTTTTGGATAAATTCATATTTTTCATAAGAGGAGACAGAAAACAATATAACAAATCACAATTAATGATAAAAGCTTTATTAGATAAACATCTTTACAATTTGGTTCTCCTTCCTATGGCTTCAAACTGAACTATCACTTTAATAAATAAAGTACCAGGCATAATATACATTGTTTACAACTCTAGACTATTAGTCAAAATGAAGTCAGTGCAATATAAGTCTAGTGTGCAAAATAGAATCCGAAATTATCTGTAAAATATTAAAGAAGCTGCTCTTTGATTTTATTCTAAATCAATACCACAGCTTCTATTAATAAATATAAATACAGCATTAGAGATTATTGAGTAAATATACAATGTGAATACTGTTATTTCAGAGGTATTGCAACTATCAGTGATCCTTCTATTTTAGGAATTGGAACAAAACAGAAAACAGAAACTTCCCAATGCATGGTCACCAATTTTAAATAGTTTTTGTTTGGTTAACTTATTTTTCTAAGTGCAAACACTGATCTGAAATCTCGGGAGGTAGTACCAAAGGCAAAGAGTCCTCATTTAAAGAGACCAGTAAATGTAACTTGTCCAAGCAGTCTTTTAAAACTCCCTCTGGATAGTCACTTAAGTGCAAGTCCAGTGGTTTCTGGTGCTGCAACATCCGATCAGCCAGCCCCAAGCAACAGACAGCCATCAAGGAAGGCATGTATTTGTTAAAGGCATAGTCGGCCAGGCTAAGTTCAGCCACACCTTTTGCTAGAGCTTTGGCATTGTTGGCTTCCCAAACATCAGTTTCACATGCTTCCATTCGTATATGGGTGAAGTGTTCGAGAAAAAAATTGATGGTAGGAGCTGACAGATTGAAGTGAAGCTTGTTGAGAATGATGCACTCCAGGTTGCAGAGCTGCTGGCGAGAGAAAGTATCACAGCAAAGGGCCAGGAGCTGTTTCACCTTTGGTGGGTGCACTTCTACCTGTAAAGCACACAAGCATAGAAAGCAATACATAGGCACTTAGGCAAAAGACAATTTTGGGATGCTTCCAGTACTGTTGCAATACACCACTGAATGTTTTTTTTTCCCAATGATAAAGCTCTCTGTGTTCGTATTTATTTTTTGTCGCTCTTAATGTCACTAGTATCAGATTTTTTTTTTGCAAAATTAAATTAATAAACTGGAAGATTAAAAGACACAATTAACTTGTCCAGTTTAATATACAGTAGATTTAAATGGCTTAATCTTGGCTGCAATGTTTTTTTTTTAAAGTATTGATTTCT